GGTCGAGCTCTTCTCACACACCCTCGTGCTCTGGGATGCCGAAAAGGAGCCCACCTCGTCGAGCGCTGCGATTCCGACCCTGCCCTCCACCATGCCTTTCTCCTTCCCGCTCACCGAGGATCTGCCACATTGCGTGCACCTCCGCCACAGCTCGCTCACCTACACCATCACCGCACAGCTCTTCAGCCACGATGCCGGCAAGCTGCCTCACGCCATCAAGTGCGTCCCCGTCCACCTCGTCCGCTACATGCGCCCGGGACGTCTGGACGAGGTCGAGCTTGCCGACTTTGACGGCGCCGCACTGCCCACCGACGAGTATGCCTTGCAGCCGCACAACTGGGTCGAGCAGACGCCCACACTCGTCTATGCCCAGATCAACCGCACCATCTTCCGACGTGCAGAGCCCATCGACATTCGCGTGCGCATCCCGCCGCCAGATCCAACCAGCGTCGCCGAAAAGGGACTCAAGCTGCGCGCGGTCGAGGCGGACCTCGTCCGCATCATCCACGTCAAGCGGCCGGCGCGAGCGGCCGAGGGCGGCTCTGCCGATCCCGGCGCCCACAGTGCCTCACATCCGGACGCGCACGAGGCGCTGCTCGCGCACAGCGGCAAGCTGTGCCGCTTCCACTCGCAGCGGCCCGTGCTGTTGCGCTTGACGCTCCATCCGCCGTTCGATCGCGCCAACATGCCGCATCCTCATCCGGACCACGATGCGCTCGCCTCCGGCCCCGTGTTTGGGCGCGGCGGCGGCGGCGGCTGCGAGAGCATCAGCCAGGAAACGCTCATGCACAAGGTCAGCTTCGAGGTGCGCATCAAGATCGGCATCCAGGGCGGCCGCGGCGAGCGCAGGGACATCACGCTTCGACGCCCCGTCAAGATCCTCCCCGGTGCCGCTGGGGCGCTGGAGCATCTGGAGCAGGATGCGCCTCGGGGGACTAGCGCGCTCGAGGAGAAGGAAAGGCTCAAGCGGTCCGAGAAGGCGCGCATGCTTGCAGACGACCAAGCGGCGGGCGCGTCGAGCTCGCGTGTGGACGCAACCACGTCCGACCTGCTCGATTTCGGCATGGACGACGAGTACGATGGCTACGAAGATGTCGGGCGCGGGTTGCACGAGCTCATGGATGCTGCCGATGACGGCGGCGCGGGAACTAGCACCGACTATGCCGACCATACCGAGCGGCTCGAGCAGCTGCGCAGATTTCTCGAAGTCTCGGACGCATCGGCGCACGACGATGGTCCGCCACCCACGCTGCTCGAGAGCCGCAACGACCTGCAGGTCGAGGTGGAGGTGCAGGGTGTGGGCTTTGCCATGCCGCGGCAAGCGAATCGTCATCCCGCCGACCCGTATCCGGACATGGGCGGTATGCCGGACGATGCTTTCCCGCCTCCGCCTCCTATTGATGCGCGTGACACCCGCGGCATGGGCGTATCGTCGTCGTCGTACCTGCTTTCTGCGGATATTGATGCGCGCGCCGATCTGTCGTCGCACCAAGACGATCCACCGCCGCCTCTGTCTCCTCTCCTGAGCCGATCGGTGGCCGAAGGCAGCTCAAGCGGCGCGGCGGGCTTGCAAGCCATGCACAACGATGCGCGATCTGATGTCGAGCATGCAGAGGCCTACCCGGCGTATTTGGTCGGCAGTGCATCTTCGTCGATGCAGCCGGACGGGGAGGAGGAGCATCCGTCGTACGAAGCGGCCATGTCGGGTGAGGCGCAGGGTGCAGGTGGGCAGCATGAGCCACCGCCGTATGCGGACGGGTCGGCACATCCAGATCCAGCACCCAGCTTTGACCATGCCGTTCGACACGCGGGTGTTGCAGCAAGTGCGCCTCGCAGCGCAGTCGCGCGTACGGCAAGGGTGGGCAGCGCACGTGCAAGCGAGGCACATGCTGGCGTGCAGGGCTTGGCCCTCAGTGCGGATCATAGACCCCCCGCGTACGGCACATCGCCACATCCGCCATCGTACGACGCCTGAGCCTAGGCTGGGCTATAACCCTCTCGATGCACGTAATCGATCTCCATTTTGGGTCACAGACTCAATCGCACCTGCAGCATCAATCTCAGTATCGACACAGCCAAGGTTTGGACGATTCGATGCGTTGGAATTCGGGAAACGAAGTGGGGGTGCTGGGGTGCGGGGATCAAGTGCGCGACTTGCCGTTATCCTTGAAGCCGCCTTCGTGGGAGCCGCCATGGTGGAGGGGCTGTCTCTTTCCCTCGTCTGGGTTGAATTGGGCCGAACGGGCGTTTGCGCCCCACGTGCTCTGCGACCTATCCTCGGGATGGATGGCGTCCTCGCCTGCACCGCTGGTTTGTGCGCCCTTGGCCATTGTATGCACCTCCGGATGCGGGGCGGCAGCTTTGGTGCTTGCGTTGGCAACGCTGCTTGAGGGCATGGCACCTTCGGCCGGCTTGGGCATTTCAGACGGTGGACGCGAGTCGATAGGCGCGTCTGCGGTAGTGTACCCGGGGTGGTCACTCACGCTTCCCTTGGCGTCAGAAGCGGGGGAGGTGCGAGAAGACGCCGCGGGTGGTTGGGCAGACAGCGCGGCGCAGGTGGAGAACGACTTGGACTTGCCAAAGAGGGACTGGGCGGCGTTGCGTGCGATCTGACCAACGCGCTTGTGCGTGCGTGTCTCGGCAGCTTCTTCCGACCCCGTGAGCTGCTCGTACTCGGTACGTTCACCCCGTCCGCGGTGGTCGGCAAATGCGCCCTCGTGTCCGCCAGGAGACTCGGGCTCCGGTGAAGGTCGCGACGCATTGGGTCGGTTAGGGTACGCCTCGTTGAAGGCTTTGAGCTTCTGCTGCACGCCCGGGTAGTGCGCATCGTCACGGCCGTCGTCGAATCGCTCCTTGTTGTTTTTGGGCGCGGCAGGGCCTTCGCGGATGAGCTGCGGCTGCGCATTGTACACGCGCGCGGCAGAGGAGAACGCGCGACGAGACGCGGTCGGCAACATAGCAGCACGCTGCATGAGTAGAGTGTTGAGCGTCATTGTGTGGGCTGGTATCGTGGGAGGAAAAGATGGTGGAGACGATGAGAGTGCTGGGTCCACGACAAGATGTGCAAAAGTCGAAGCCCGTGACCGCCTGTGAAACGGGGTGCAACGCACGGATTGGTAATCGTGTAGCGCTTGGGCTCGACGATGTCATGTCTAGGGTCTCGTGTGCCCAACGCAGCAGCTTGACAGCTCGATCGACTGCAGCAGCTGTCCTTCCGCCGCGCGCAGCAGCGAGGATCGAGTGGCATTCGCCTCCACACCATGGCCGCGCTGCAGTGCAAGCAACTGACAGCTGCTGCGTCTATGTCATGACGCATCCCGATGTGGAGGCCCGTTGTAAAATCGGGACAAAATGCAAATATCGGGAGAGACGGTCCACTGTCAGCGTGACTAATGCAGATTGGAGAATTTTGAGCTGCAACGGCGGACGAAGAGATGCACGCCGCTCAGTTGGTCTTTCTCTCTGCCGCTGCCAAGGTTTATTTTTTTTTTTTCCGAAGGGTGCAACGAAGCCACCCCATCCACGGAAAGCCCCGTCGCATGCGCCATCGTTTCGTCTCTCTTACTTCCACATCCATCCCTCTTCTTAGACCCGTGATCCCTCCTGACTCCGGTGTGAGGTCTTGCTTCCGCAACCACAACTACAACTCCATCCCACCACTCTCCGTCTCGCACATTTCCGCAACAATGTCCGCTCCCAACCCCAAGGCCTTCCCGCTGGCCGACGCCACGCTCACCAACCAGATCCTCGACCTCATCCAGCAGGCTTCGCACTACAAGCAGCTCAAGAAGGGTGCCAACGAGGCCACCAAGACGCTCAACCGCGGCATCTGCGAGTTCATCGTGATGGCCGCCGACGTTGAGCCCATCGAGATCGTGCTCCACCTGCCCCTCCTCTGCGAGGACAAGAACGTCCCCTACGTCTTTGTCCCCTCCAAGACCGCCCTCGGCAGGGCCTGCGGCGTCTCCCGCCCCGTCGTCTCGGCTTCTGTCACCACCAACGAGGCCCGCGAGCTCCAGAGCCAGATCCAGACCGTCAAGCTCGCCATCGAACGCCTCCTCATCTAAAGCCGTCGTTCGTGCGAGACTGGCATCCTAGCCATGCTCGAGTGCGGCGTTCCCCTCCTTCGTCCATGTCCGCCTTCGATTGTAATCTCGCAACTGTAACATTAGCGCTCCCTACGCAACTCAAATAATTGCTCTTTCCTTGCACCCATCATCGTGTTCAGCCTTACGGTCAGACGCACTGATGCCACATTGTTATTGCAGCGACCGTCACCGCAAACTACTCTGCGAACGTCGATGCCAGATCCGTCGCTGCATTCAGACGCAGGAGCGTCAACTTTTGCGCCAGGGACTCGGCCTGTTGCTCGTGCGCCTCGCCCTCTTGCTCGGGCCCCTCGTCCTCGCCAGCTGCCTCGGTGCGGGATTCGTGCAGCAAGCGGCGCAGGTCTCGCACGATCTTGCGCAACATCGTCCTGCGGGCGCGCGTGTCCGGGCTCACCTCGCGCGCGCGGCTGGCGTAGCTCGCCTGCTCCGCCTCGGCGATCTGCTGTGCGTGCTGCAGGAAGCCGTCGCCGAAGCAGCGCATCATCTTGGCCACCTGCAAGCTGTAGTGCGTGTCCAGCCCAATCCCCCGGTGGAGCTTGTGATGGAAGACGAGGCTGACGTCCTGTCGCTGCTGCACCGTGCTCACGTGGAGATGCTGGCATACAACGCCCTCCTTGCCGTCAAAGCCGTCGACCAGCTCGCCAAAGTGCGTGGCGAAGAACACCGTGCTCACCTTGTCGTTGAGCAGCTCCTCGACAATCGCCGTCGCCACGGCCGATCCCTCGTCGGGACTCGTGCCGCGGCCCATCTCGTCGAGGATGACGAGCGAGCGAGGCGAGCCCACGCTGAGGATGAAGGCCGACGTGCGCATCTCGGTCGCAAACGTCGACAGGTTCTGCGTCGCATCGTCCTCGTGCGTGAGCAGGCTCAGGATGGCGTCCGGGATGGGCAGCGTAGCGCGCGTCGCCGGGACAAAGCATCCGATGCCTGCCAGCACAGTGATGAGCGCGATCTGACGCAGGAACGTGCTCTTGCCAGACATGTTGGGGCCTGTGATTAGGCACACCCGCTCGCCCGCACCGAGGCAGATGTCGTTGGGCACAAACGCTCGTCGGCGTCGCGTGAAGATGGCCGAAGAGGCAGAAGCAGGCACGTCGACACGGTCCAGGATTGGATGCCGTGCTCTGCGGATGTCGAGCGAATCGCCAAACGCCGGTCGGACGTAGTTGTTTGCGATCGAGACGTTCGCGAAACTCACCACCATATCGAGCAGCGAGAGCGCCTCGGACACCTGCCCATCGCATTTTGCACACCGCCAGTCCGTCAATACCAACAGCGACGACGGCGGGGACACGAGAGTCATGCCCACCTTGTAAAGCGACGCCACTTTGCCAATGATCTCTTCGATGAGTTCATCGATGATGGTGTCCGACATGGTCAAGACCTCGTTCATCGATTCCACGAGGCGGGCATTGAGCTTCTTCTGTGAGGTCCAAAGGTTCGATGTCTTGTCAGTGTCCGCGAGGCATTCGAGATGGTGTTGATCTAGTCCTTGGCACTTACGAGAGTCAATGTCAACATGGTGATAGTGTTGCCCGTCTTTGCCGGAGTGACGTTGGTGAAACGCTCCGGAAGGTTTTTGATGCGGCTCCTCTCGCACTTTGTCTGGAACTGTGCAGGAACAGCCAATGTCAGCACGCCTCTCTGATCGTCACACAGCCGGTGCAGCCGCCTCTTGCTCACTAGGAAGCCCGTGTGAACCATCTTGAGCGTGATGGACAAGCCAGTCTCCTCTGCCGTTTTCGAAGGTCAGCCAAAGAGTCAGCGTCGTGTGTTTGTCGGTTTCCGTTCCGGTATGACTTACGAGACTCCGCTTCGCAAAGCTGCAAGATGTCGCTGCGTGGACGTTAGATGGTCGGGTCGGCTCAGTGCAATGCTGCAGTGACTCGGTCATTGTGAGCGAGGACTCACTTGATGTTCTCCTTGTACGTCTCCCTCGCCACATCGAGCAGTGGGCTCTTCTCCGCCCGAACAGCGTACTGGTCGGAACGGATTTCGGCGTCAGTTTTGTGTAATTTGGCTCCGGATGGCCCTGCGGTGGGACTCACGAGCTTAGCGTTTCGACTACTGAGGCCTCCCTTGGCATGGATGATGTCGTCATCGATGGTTTGATAGATAGCTTCGGCGATCAGGTCGAGCTCCTCGGCGTCAAGGAACTGTGGAAATGTGGACGGAGCAAGTTTGAGCGCCGTATCCAAGCGCTCAGTCATGACTGATTCGCGACTTGTCGATCAGCTTACCACCTGGACGGCTTGGAACAGACCACTCGAAGCATTCTGAAGAGCAGCCCGAGCTGGAGAAGATGGCGGGAGCAACATTAAAAATTCAAACCTGAAGAACCTGCTGATCGCAGACTTTGCTCGGACTCACCTGAAGAGAGCGAACGGATCAGTGTCCTCAGGCTCAGAATGCTTCCGACCTTCCGCTCCGTCTCGCTTCGGGGCGTTGCGACGCGGCGCTCGCTGCACGATAGAGCGTTGACGAGCTTGTCGAGGTCGATGCCACCATCTCGAATGGGTTTCAGGCTCTGGCGGATGGCGTAGAATCGCTCCTGTCGAGATCCAAATAAGAATGTATGCTATGATCGTAAGACTCGACGAGATCATAAAGATCGTTGGGATGATTCCCACCTCGTCTCGGATACATTCTGCTACCGCATCCTGTCGGACAGCGATCGCTTCGAGATCTGAAAATTGTGATATGAGGGGCAAAGACTCAGAAAGTGTGAATCGATCCTTAGCAACCTCCTCGATACATACCTCTCATTGGCTGAAGAATATTCATCTTGAGAAGTCGACGGCCCATTGGAGTGGCACAATGATCCAGGAGACCTACGTGTGAGTGGTGACAGAGTGTCAATGGAAAGCTCCTTGGCTTCTTGCTGTATCGATAGCGGCTACGCACCGTAGAGACAGTCCTTCGAGCCGGGGTTGATGAGATTGCGGACCAATTCGAGGTCATGCGCCGTATTGCTGTTGATCAAGATGGTGCCTACAGAGTGATGACGACAGATGAGCTTCCGCAGGTTCTGCTTGGATGAAAGGATGCTTCCGACTGACCTTCTGGAACGACGAATTGGATTCGCAGTGACCTTGGGGTGAAGACTCGGTTCAAGCTCTGTGTGAAGAAGCTGCAGTCAATGCGGCATCAAGAAGCTGTGGTCAGCAAATGTTGCAGGCATCCT